ATATAGAGTGGGAATTGTGGACTCGCTCAGATTAGGAGCCAGAAGCGGGCTCTTGTGACCACGGCAGTGAGTTTTCGGGTTCCGCAAAATGCTAGAAATGCCTAGACTACCTAGCAGACTACTATTTCTCAGTGAAGCCTCTGCTCCGTAAAGTTGGTTACAGCTGGCTTTATAATGACTGAAAAATCCGGAGAAATAATTGCGCAATGAATTATCCTTCATTTATCACCAAAATGCCGAATGCTTTTTCCGCATATAAAATAATTATGTGAGAACAGGCTACTGAAGCATGGGAATGAACACACGGTCCTTCAAATGGACCGTCAGTTTCGACTTCTGTTAGAGAAATGTGTTTTGTGAAACGGACATTAAGTATACCAGAGCCCCACTAATTCAGTTTTACGATTGGCGTCACATTTTTTTAGGTCTTGAATGCACGCCACTGAGAGGCGTCATTTTTCAGTCTCCTTATTCGTCTGCTGGGCTATTTCAATTATATTAAGGGCGGAGCATACCGGTGCTTTCGGAGCTCACAAAATCCGTATCTCTTCCCATAATGCAATGGCATGGCGAAAGGAAGGGACTTTGAAAACAATAACTACCCTCCGAGGACCAGTGATAAAGTGGGCTAACATGATCGTGCTGAGAGACTGTCAGAGTGCAAGCTCTTCAGGTTATGTGCAGCATTACATAAGCTGGGATTGGGACAGACAGAAACAGCTCTAGCTCTAAGCTAGGAGATTGTTGTAATCATCATCTAACAAAGTAGGTCTAGTAACTATGTAATTAATGCTGAATATGCCTTGAACATATTTCTTCTCTCCACGTCATTCAGGCCGGTTCTGCAGGTCACCCAATCTTCTATTCAATGTCTACCAGGGTATCTTTCCCGGGGGGTAAAGCGGCCGGAGCGTGAAGTTAACCATGCAACTGCAACTAGTGCTGAGGTGAAGAAAATGTGGATCTGTACACCCACTTCCTCATATGTCTTCAAGGCGTAATGCTTAATTAGTTAAGCACAGGGACAACTTTACCTTTGCTTATGCCTTGACAGCTGATAACGACAGTTTATCTTCTGTATAACCACAAATGTCATTATACGTTTTCACATAAGCATCAACTGGATCTTAACTTAGTCCTATTTATCACTTTTTCGCAAAAAAAATCAACAAAATATTGTCACGTGTATGGATTGAATATACACGGGGTTTTGATTCGTAACAGGATTTATTGAACAGTCACAGACATTAACTACAAGTAACTATAGCGCATTATTCTAATTCACACACACTACAATTCACTACAGCATGCACTAAGTCTTTTCAGTCTGGTGTATCATCACCGGTGGCAAGCACTTCCTCACCTTCCGTCTTCATGTTCTTGCTGGCCGGGTCTCTCTCACAACTCACTGAACTCTAAACTTGTCCTACTTATAACGCCTCGGCACGGACCGCATAGAATAAAGTATCCCAAAAGTTCTGTTGTTGCATCACGTGGTTATCGCTCGGACAGCGTAGAGAACACCATTCCTATGTTACTGTTTACGGCCATTACCTAGAAACGGCAGTTGCTTACAGAGCCTTTACCTAGCAACGGTTATACATGCTACAATATGCATGACTCTAACGAAAACATTCCGTCTTAATCATAATTGGAGGTCAGTCAAGAAAATCATTTCTATCTTCCTATGTTTCTTAGATGTTCGGCTCATGAGGTCCCTCTTCCACCTTGTTATGAATATTCTGGTTAATCTGGCCCCGGTTTCGGTGACTGGATGTTTTTTTCTCCGGTTACACTAAGAACTGAGCTGCTGTTGGCTCATAATTGTCAAAGTAGCAAAGCTGCTTTTCCACTTGTTGCTTAAAAATATTTTTGTCAACAGCCGCGTGGAATGTGACGTATATCATTGTTCACTTGCTGGTTCCAGATCCTGACGGCAATAAAATGAATGGCACAGATCAAAGTCGGATTCCTCACAGGATAAACCCGAACGCCCGTAACTTTTTTTTTTATTATTTCTTGCAATTTACAATCTACTCTACAAGGGAGTAATAAGTAAATATGTTGTAAGAAATCACTTGTGCGGAGTGATCATCCAGTGATGATTCTCCTCTGTAGTATACTATGCATTATGTTGTTGAGTACGGCTACCCATCTTCAACACTGTGTTCTTTTAAGTCTGAGGGCCATTGTCGTTTTAGTCTTCGTCTGATGTTTAATGGATTGCTTAGTTCAGTTACGCAACTGTTTTCGTGTCCCATTAGTCGGTTGTGGTATGTGGTAGAGTATCTTTTGATTTCTTCTGTGACAAATGGGATTTGAAGATCATTGTGTAACGTGAAGTTCGAGACATACCATGGGGCGTTGGTTATGGAGCGCAGTACATTTGATTGGAGTCTTTGAATTAGTTTGGTGTTCGAAGGCTTAGCACACCCCCACCGTTGAACTCCGTACGTCCAAATCGGTTTCAATATGCATTTGTAAATTAAAGTCTTGTTTTCTAGGCTGAGTTTTGATTTTCGTCCTAAGAGCCATGACATTTGTCGTACTTTTAGGTTTAGATGTTGGCGTTTTGTCTTGATGTGCTTCTGCCAAGTTAGCTTCTGGTCTAGGTATAGGCCGAGGTATTTTACTTCTGTCTGTATTGGGATTTGTAAATTATTGATTGTAACTGGTGGACAGCGTGTGCGCTTTGTTGTGAATTTTATCTGCGAAGATTTTGTTTGGTTTATCCTGATTTTCCATTTTTTGAACCATTCTTATAGCAGGTCGAGATGGTGTTGAAGAAATTTCGATGCCAGTACCGGGTCACGGTCTGTTGCTAGGAAAGCAGTATCGTCTGCAAAGGTTGCTATTGTGGTATTGTTGGTTGTTGGCAAATCTGCAGTGTATATTAGATATAACAAAGGCCCAAGCACACTTCCTTGTGGTACCCCGGATTTTGCTAGTTTGTAGCTAGAATAGGCATTGTTGTATTTTACTTGGAAATACTTTTCTGAGATGTATGATTTTAACAGTAGATAGTATGGACTTGGCAATTTGTTCTTGATTTTGTGTAGTAATCCAGTATGCCAGACTTTATCAAAAGCCTGGGCAATATCTAAAAACGCTGCAGTGCAATACTGTTTCTCTTCTATACTTGTGGCAATTTTGTTGATTATTCTGTGAGTTTGGTGGATTGTAGAATGATGTTCTCTGAATCCAAACTGATAGTCGGGTATAATCTCGTGGATTTCTGTGTCGTGTCTAATTCTGTTCAGTAAAAGTTTTTCAAATATCTCTGAGGGAATAAGGAGCAGGCTAATGGGACGATAAGAGGTCACTTCGTTAATTGGTTTTCCAGGCTTTGGTATCATAACAATTTGAGCAAATTTCCATATCGCTGGAAAGTAAGATAGCCTGAGCATGCTATTGAAGATTATTGTGAGTAGTGCAGTTGCTTTATTTGGCAGTTGTCTCAATATCTTTCCCGTGATTATATCGTACCCAGGTGCTTTGCACTGGTTCACTTTTTTAATATGTTGTTTTACTTCTTTAGGTGAGAAGGCTTTGAAGTGTAAAGACATTTGACATGGCGTATCTAGAAACTTCTCAATTTCGTTGTCATTATGATGATTATTAGAGTCGTGTGGTGTAAATACCAGAGAAAGATATTCAGCAAAATTTTCGGCTTTTTCTAAATCACTTTTGGCCCAGCTTCCGTCAGCTTTCCTTATTGAAGGTATTGATTTTTGGGACCGTTTGAATGTTCTTGTAGCTTTCCAGATTGTATGATCGTCCTTATTGAGTGAAGTGATATATTGCTCAAAGGTCGTGTTTCTTTCATTTGCTAGCGTATTGTGCAGTCGTCTTTTAAGTCTGTTGTAGTTGATTCTGTCATCATTATTTCGTGACCTTTGCTCTGCGTTTTTCAGCTACTAGTTCGCGTATGTGCAGGGGGATGTTATATGTATGTTTTGTTGTATCCAGTGGCGTGGGAGTAGAGCACCATGCTGCTTCCTGGGTTAAAGTTGTAAAGTATTGGGTTGATTGATCTAACTCGTCGGTTTCTTTTATTTTTATGTTCATAATTATGTGGTCTTCAATGTATGTCCGAAAGTTGTTCCAGTTCGTTGCGTTTGTAACCAGCATACTTATCGGTGATTGGTTTATCACATGGGTGGATAAAGTTGCAATTACAGGTGTGTTATCAGATGATAGTTAATGGTTAGATTTTATCTGAATGTAATTTTTTGTAATACCTTTGTGGATGAAAAAGTCTAATAGGTCTGGTAGCTTGTTATAATCGTTTGGCCAATACGTTGGTTCATCCGTGGAGAGGTGGTTACAATTTCGTCTATTCATTGCTTCCAGAAGGTTTCTTCTTCAGTTGTAACGAGTCTTGCTCCCCAGTGCGCGTGTTTGGCGTTCCAGTCACCTCCTATTATATACTTGGATCCGTAGGATTCAAGAAATTCGACGTATTCTTCACTTGATATTGCATGTTTTGGGGGACAGTATACCGCAGACACTACCAAAGGCATTGGCTTCCCATTAACTTTGACATTGGCTGCTTGGAATTTGACATTTTGGTGATGTGTGAGCTCGTGATGAGAAATTGAATTACGGATGATGACGGCAGCACCACCACGAGCCCTATCGCCCGGGTGAGGTATGTGGTATACTTTGTAGTTTGGTACTTTAAACACAGTTCTGGTGGTAAAATGAGTTTCTGATATCAAGCACGTAACTTTGAAACACTGAACAGTGTCGTCAACTGCATGTGTTAGATTGTCACTGACAGAACAGGGTCTCTAGAATGTTTCGATGGTTTCGGAAGTGACAGTACTTGTACAGAAGAGAATGCCCGGCAGTTGTTGCACCATTTAGTGTCTTAATACGATCTATGAATCGGGCACAGAATACTGTGATAACATTATGAATTTGAACTGATTAGGCAACAGAATTTATTTCCTTGCCTCTTGTGTAGAATTTTATATTTAAAGGGTGAAATGTTGCAGGACATTGGGCATGCCGAACTCTCAGCAAGGCACCCTTGATCTCACATCAAACAGCTACAGAGACAATTGCGATCGACTGCTGTACCTGGAGGAGAAGCAACGGGAGCTGTGTGCCTTGAGCCAGAACATTTTGACGGTGAGCCACTCGTCAGCTAGCTGACTTCCCTAAGCACTTGCTACATTGCTCGCTTCTCACATGTTTACGTTCTATCCTACTCGCTTACCCACTCGCTTCTTCTCATGCATTCCCGCCACCTCACCGCTTCCTCACAATCTTACTCACCACCTTTCTTTTTTAATTTAATTTTAACATTACTGACCGATTCATACCAGTAGACCGTCCATATCTTATCTGTAGATTTAATAAAACGTTCGATTGTACCTGAATAACTCCAAATAATATTAATATAGTTATATGTATAGATTTTGAATTCAGACGAAATTAATATTTTATTTAATATAAGAATCATGCATTTTAAATTAATTGTTAGAATATTTAGAAAATCAAACATGAAGCTAGTATTTGTCTTGTAAGATATTCACTGCATTGCTAGAAGTATTTTACATGTTTACATTCTTATGTTTTTAATGTTGTTGTAATTATGCCACGAATCTCCTTTGGATGCTTCCGCAATCCTGCCGAGGATCTATAAAGTTCACTCAGTCTGTTCGTCCGTCCGTAAATCTGTGTGCTTGAAACACATTGCGAACCGCTTAATGGATTTTCATGAAATTTCATACCGGGGAGCTTCACTGATATTTTTCAACCAATTCTAATTTCTCTCAAAATGGCCAAAAATAACGGACGCTTTATGTGATGACAAGCGTGCATTTCTGCGCATAATAAAAAACAGTGTATAGAAAAATGCACGTCACCTTTTACGCTCAATACGAATTTTTAACAATTCTTACCGTTTACTATAGAATTACACAAAATGGACGCTATTCTGTAGATTTCCGAACGAGGATATTTAGCAATCAGACATGACACGAATGCACTCGAGGATTACCGAAGTCTCTTTTCCTCGATAATAATCAAACGAAGCTCACTAGCGTGAAAGTTTTGTAGTTCTACACATATGTATATACGAGTATATATATATATATATATACGTATTTAACTGATATAAAATTGATTATGTTTCTGAAATCTTTTCTTCTCGTCCATCATAGTTAATCTGCAAGAAAGCAATAGTTTCAAATATGTTAGCAAAAGATCTTAATTCGCAGAAGAACAGAGGTTTCCTTTTTAGTTCAGGCTGATTTGAAAGCAGGTGTGCTTTTTTCCTAACCTAGCGCTCTATTACAATGCGAGATTGAAACACATATTAAACAAATGTTATAGTCCTATCTTGAATGAGCAATAACAGTGAACAAAGAAGCTTTAAACTGACGGTTTGCTAATTCAGATTCGGCCCATAATTTTAATTTTGACTTCTGGCCACTTATTCTGAATAAGTATCAGTTAATAGTGAACGATTGCATTTGAAATTAATGACTGTTTTTTTCCTTTGGCGCTACAGCCCCAATTTGGGATTTGGCCTGCCTCCGTGAAACTCTCTGTTTCACTTCGGTTTACTAGATCTTAGACATTCGGTATGACTCCTTGTGCGAGTGATCAGTTTGTCGCAAGGCCTCTACCTGTACACAAACACAGAAAAACGCGCGCGCACACACACACACACACACAAGCACTATACATCGATGACCTGCTTGGGATTAGAACCCACAATCCCGGCTTCCCAGAGAGCGAAGACAGTACATGTCTTAGACCGCTCGGCTACCGTGACCGGCAGTGTATAAGAATAATATATAAGAATTCAGTTCGTACCTCACAGGAAACAGATCCGAACCCACGGGATGCCTTAGACCGCTCGGCTACCTTGACCGGCTTAATGTCTGCTTACTGTACGGAAAAATTTCATAACCGGAAAGCGCATGGATGTTAACATGTCTATAATTTCTTCTGCCGAACACGCCTGTTAAGTGCACACTATAATTTTACATTCTTTTTTTAAGTTCAAGCTTCACGTATTTACGGCCCTTCTTTTGTTTACAACTTAATTGGCCCCTTAAACGTACAGTACCGAAAGATGAAGTTGGTCTCTCTTAGAAGTGATAAGCCACCTTTTGTTTTTAAAGTTGTCCTTCATTGCCATACCACCCACCCACCATTAGAGAACGCATGTTTGTTCTTTTGTTTGACATTATCTGCTTATTACGGCACACAAACACGTAACATGTTATAACCATCAAACAATTTTCACTTCAATTAAAATTATCATTAGCTTATAGAATGTATCTTCTGATTGCTGATTAAACAAATAAATAAAAAAAGTTAAAATTAGCATATATTTATGTTTCATTACAGTGATAATAATGTACCTGTATCGGCTTTAGATTACGTGTTTCGAAATATTATGAATGCCTTCATCAGAACTTTTCACATAAAATGAAATAGGAAGTACAGCCTAATACATATGATTATAATGTAATGCTTCTAGACGCCGATGACGGTAGTTGAGCTGTCTAAGTCATGCACTGCCTTCGCCCGCTCGGAAGCCGGGATCATAGGTTTGAATCCCACTCAAGGCATGGATGTTTAGTGTTTGTGTATGTATGTGCTTTTCTCTGTGTTTGTGTACAGGTTGAGGCCTTGCGACGAGCTGATCACCCACCCAAGAAGTCATACCGAATGTCTAAGATCTAGTAAACCGAAGTGAAACGGAGAGTTTCATGGAGGTAGGCCAAGGCCAAAATTGGGGCTGTAGTGCCAAAGGAAAAAGAAATGCTTCAAGACACGGCCGAAATTATTTGCAGCGCATGTTACGTTCGCTTTGTGGATGCATCTATCCGAATGCATAAACTAATTCGGAAACAGCTGAACGCTTTGCCTTGAAAATTATTTTTGGAGGGTTTTGACAACATTTGCAGCACATTTTTAAATTTTAGTTGAAATCGGAAAGACATAACGGCCACTTTACACGAAGTCTGATATTCTTCTCAATGCGTAACGCGCTAAATGTATAACAAAGTGAAACCCCCTCCGAACAAAAGTTAGAAAGAATAATGGAGCACACTTTTCACATTTCCAAAAGATTTACTTTCCACGTGTCTTACTTTTCTCGAGATAACTTAAGAATTCTTTACGCTATGCGCACACTCAGTAATCAAGATTAGTCTTCAGAACACTTGCGAAGATTTTCGAACAGTCAATAACGTTTTTGTGTGTGTGTGTGTGTGTGTGAACACACGCGAGGATTGCGGAAATCGCTTTTTCTTATTAATATTTAATGTTTCATCCCATCTAAATTTATAGGCCTATGTACATTAATATATACTTAATTGAATTATACTACTGGATTCTGATTGGAGCACTCGGTTGCGTAGTTGGTTAAGGCACTGTGCTACAAACCAGAAGGTCGCGGGTTATAGTCCCGATGAGGTGAATTTCTTCAATTGACCCAATCCTTCAAGCCGCATTATAACCTTGAGTTCGACTCAGCTTCTAATAGAAATTAGCACCAGGAATCTTCCTGGGCGTAAAAGGCGGGCCGGCGCGTAAGACGGACAACCTTACCGCCATCCGGGTCATTCCATGTGAAATCATCCAGAGAGGTCGCTCACCATTTAAAAAAAAATTATCTTTTGTACACTTATTTATACATATTTTCATACTACAAAAATATTAAAAAAAATTGTAATCCGCTCGGTTCTCCTGGTACAGGCGTTTTTATAACGCGAAAAAAGCGTTTTCGGCTGAAATGGAGGTTTGCGTTATCTTTCATATCTCGATAACTATTGAAGCTACAGACTCCAATAAACACGCAATGTGTTCCTCATGATATGAACTACAAATCATATTATTATAAGATTTTCCTCAGCTCACTTTCTCTAGGAGTAATTAAACTTGAAACTTACCTGTCGATTTTGGGAAAAAGGCTATTTTTGACCTTCAGAAACCAATGGGAGGGTGAAAATATCAGATCTGTGGTTTCTACCCTTTGTTGTTTCCTACATGGGGAATATGATCACGTAGTTTTAAACCCCGTACCTAGTTTACAAAAATTTCCAGGAGATTTCAAACTTTGCTCTGGGCCCAAAATCGACAATTTTTAACATCTCATATCTCCGGTGGAGAAGGTCCGAAATTTTTTAAATTCATAGCAAATAATGCTCTATTCTAGAGTAACTTGGAGATAAAATTACAACTTTGATATTCAAATAAGAGCGAAGTTGTGAGCACTTTGAATTTTACCAAAAAAATCAATACCTTGATAATTGGCTTACCTGAATCCAATGGTATTGGCGGTCCTATATTCGGTATAAAAGACGAGAGATCTATCTTTTGTCATTAAAATAATTTTCAGGCCTGTACTTACTGCTCGGAATGACATGTTATCGACACTCAGTTCTTAGCTGGCTATGAACATGAATGTATGTCTCTTATTTCGCGCCTGCCTCGTGTGTTTTGACATCTGAACCCAAACTTTTGTAACCGTGGTGTTAGAGCTGGGCTGCTTTCTCAGCAGCTTTATGTATGGATGAAGCATTCCCATGAATGTTGTCTCGAACTGTAAGTCAGAGTATGTTCAGTAACTGTAGATCTTTCAGGTGTATCGAGCTCGGTGTTCTCCAAGTCGAAAGTAAAAACTTTTTGAAATGGAATGTTCTGTAGGTATTGTCGTACGTGATCAATGTCATAAGACTACGTATGGTGCCGTCAACAAACAGTTTACGCTTGTGAGTGAATTGAGTGAAGAGAAACAAACTGTTTTAAAGTTAAGTTTGGGTGAATGCGATTTGAGTTCCATATGCAAGCATCATGAGATTAAGTATTCTGTTCAATACACGTACAATCACCTGTTTGGAAATATTTGTTGTTACCGCTAAAAGTGCACGGTGCCAGGCGAAAACGAGAGCTTGTGTGTGGCCTTGTCTTGGATGGAAATTGTTACGAAACCATTACAGCTTAACGTAATGAATTAGGTCACAAACGTAAATAGATACAGTATCTGTATATTTTATTTTCTATTAAACAATGTAAGAGTGGGGCATTGAAGGAGATTTCGGATGTTTTACTGTAAGAAGGTACTGGACATTATACAGAGAAACATATCAATAACTTCTGTGCTTATTAATTTATAAGTATCACAGACTAATTTATATAACTGGAAACGTTTGAAGTAAAGTGAAAATCACTCATTTCTTTTATAACCAAGAAACTGAAGAGCATGCCAAGCTCTGCTTTAAACAGTGAACGAGCTTCTGTCAGAGGCAAAGTTTTAATTTCAGTGAGACTCTGTTTCCTTTAGCTGTAGGCTGTTCATGTTCCTTTAGATATGATGGTGGGTTTGGGCCCCTTGCTATTACTTGCAGCCCCATTGCGCACGCTATCTCTAGCTTTCATCCCTCCTTCATTTTCCGCTTCGGGAGAGTCTAGCAATCACTCACAGGGATCGTTTTCCTTCCAATCACTTTGTTTGAAATCTTCCAGTGCATTTCTTGTTACATGTCCAACATCCCTTGTGATTCATATGCATCATAAGAGAAGATATAAAATTGATTCTATCCTCCTTTATCAAGGAGGGCGGAATTTAAACATATGGGAGGGCGATCTCTATATCTCCATATACCTGATCATAAGCCCTGGGAGGGATAGATTCTTATGTGGAGGCCCATGAGACTATTTCGAACGGATTTCAGGCTTTAGAAACTGCGGAGAAGAATATTATAGTTAATAAATTGGTATAGACCAGAAGATATTGTTATTCATAACCATTGCTGTGAGAACTTCAAATCCTATATAGAATATAGCCTATTTTATTTTTCTTTGGCGCTACAGCCCAAATGTGGGCCTTGGCCTACCTCCATGAAACTATCCGTCTCATTTCGGTAGGACTCTTTGGGCGAGTGATCAGCTCGTCGCAAGGCCTCTACCTGTAGACAAACACAGAAAAACGCACACAAACATCCATGCCCTTAGTGGGATTTGAACCCACGATCCCGGCTTCCGAGCGGGCGAAGACAGTGCATGTCTTAGACCTCTCGGCTACCGTGACCGGCAATAGACACCTTGGGCTACCTAATCATAGATGAAGGGATAATATTAGACCAAATCTTATAGAAATAGGATAATAAGTTGTCGACACTATTCGTGTTCAGTTTCAAGGGTTTATGAACGAGATGCTGTAAGTTAAAAATTTGACCGGCTTGTTTGTATAACATTGAAGATTTTGTTCCATGAATTTAGATATTGAATTGAATTACATTGAAGTGTGTCTCTTGCACTTGCAGAGTTTAGGTCTCGGAGCAAAGATGGCCATCGACGAATGTCAGCACCAGTTTCGCATGAGTCGCTGGAACTGCAGCACTTTCGGCAACACGACCGCTATTTTCGGAGGTGTACTTTCTGTCAGTAAGTCGAAAAATGTATCCTATGCTTTATCACTTCTTTATATATTCCATGCAGTGGTATCTGCGAGTAACAAGGCCCAGCATAAAATAAACCCCACTATAAATTTTCGTAATTAGTTGTCGATTTTATCACATGAATGCAGCACCTCTCTCACATAGTTGTATCTGCGGATCCTGTGTTGTATGCTCTTCGATATTCTTTTTCTATTGTTTTGTTAGTGGCTAGTGTATGTAGGCCTAGTTCGCAGTCCGCACAACGTATGAAACTAAAAACATCAAGAAAATATACATACTGTTGTAACAGAACACAAGAAGAAATATTAGTAGAGAAAACATAACACATAACTTTAAAATTATTTTAACCAGAATCCAACGCAGTTTAAAGAATTATAACTTTTAGACTTAACGCGTCTTGAGTGTTATTGAAATATTAAAATACACTGTAGCAATTTATATGGGTCGTCGTACATATCTCATTATGGACCCATATGGCCGATGCATGTCCTGAATATGTAGAAAATTAAATAAATAAATAAACATGAAAACGTGGACTAAGTGATATTCTGACTAACAGCTTTACGAAATATTGCATGCAAAAGACTATATTATACACACANACTTTATATATATATATATATATATATATATATATATATATATATATATATATACGTGTATATACGTGTATATCAAGTGTTCAAGTACTGCAACAGGTCTCTCGGATACAATATTATGGATCTACTGCTTTGATTTCTCATAAATCTGAATAAATGGCGGCTAACAGCGCACAGCTTCACGTGAATTTAATGTTTCATGACATAAATGAGGAATTCGTTGTAATATTGATTATTCGGTTTGTCTAAAACAAGTTTCTTAGAAGTCAATAGAAGAACATGGGTGCTAGCGTGTTCGTCAGGGACAAGACCGTGACTAGGCTTCCCGATGCATCTACGTGCTTACCAACTACCAACTGCCAGTCATGTAGTTACTTTTAAGAATGACATTTTCATATTTGTTGTACTAGTATTTGTTTGGTTATAATGGTATAACTGACATCTGTGCCTTTGTTCCAGAGAGTCGTGAAGCCGCATATGTTCACGCAGTATCGGCAGCAGGGATCGCGTACACAGTGACGCGCGCATGCTCGCGTGGAGAGCTAAACGAGTGCAGCTGTGATAGTAGAGTGCGCAGTCGCAAACCCAAAGGAAAGTGGCAATGGGGCGGTTGTTCGGAAGTAAGTGATTGAGGTGTAACAGATAATTACGGCATTATGCATGAAATACGTGAAGTGAAAGTATAATGAGCAGATAATATCTAATATCTCTAGTCTGTGTGCATATTTTATTTCAAAATCTATTACGTGGATTTCGGTTAAATTTGATATTGAGGGAATAGTCTAGAACGAGTAAATTTTGATTAACATCGGACCAATATGAAGCCAAAATAAACTTTTTATAATTTCTTTAAAAAAATCTTATCGTACAGTAAATGTTTTATTGTATGAAGTATAGAACTTAGAAAAATCTATAAATTTACTTGAAATACAAAAATCTTTATTAGGATCTGTCGCAACACAGCTACGAGACGGTCGAGGTCAATATTATCTTAGCTATACGAGTATGTTTCGGCTTTTAAAGCCATCATCAGGCAAATACACAGCTACTACACTCGCAAACTATTGAACTGCTTTTCAATATGATGGTACGGTAGTGCTGAATACTTGATAAATATAATAATACAAAGTATAAAAATACAATAAAATTATAATATTATTATAAAAACGAAAGTTGTACAATTAAAATATGGTTAAAAACTATTCACATAATATTTCTTATTATGAAGTCTTATGTATTTGCCTGATGGTGGCTTTAAAAGCCGAAACATGTAGCTAAGGTAATGTTGACCTCGACCGTCTCTTTGTTGTGTTGAGACGGATTCTAATAAAGATTTTTGTATAATAAACAGAATAGAATGCACTCAATGAAAATTACTTGAAATATTTTCCGATATTCATATCTAATTATTATGAAAATAATTGTTGTTCTGTAACATCCGCCATAACAGTTTAGTAGGCTTATCTGTAACAGTTGCAATATCGACGATAAACAAAGAAGAAGACCAAAGAAATGTGCGAAGTTGGAAAGATCGCACCTTTAAAAGTATTTTCTATACAGATCAGACAGAATCATATAGTTGAAAACACATATATATTTAATTAGGCGAAAACAGACGCACACAATAGATACGCATTATGTGACCGGCGTTGTCGTTATATGACTCTCCTAAATACCAGTTACTTAAAATGTCGTTCAAGTGATTTCCTACATTCATATTTTGAAATGTATTTGCAATATAAGTTTGAGTTTATTTACTCTGCTTATAATGTTTATTAACATTACATAGATATAGATTATGTAGATATATGCCTACTTAGATTAAGCATTAATGTAACGAGAAATGTTAACTGTCCATAGTGGACAGTTTATCAGTAGAGAGTGTCCTTGCCGTTAGTCGTCTCCAGAACGAAAACTTTAACTTGTCCACGTCACTAAATGGATGTTAGTATTCACTTTCTCCCTGGGGAGAGATGTTACCAGTAACCATTTTAAACAAGACTGGGAAAAGAGACTAGAAGTGGAATTATACAGTTTATATTATTCTGAAAGATATCCGTTTTTAAAGCAAATGATATTAGTTCGCAGGTCTCGAGTTCAGTTTACCAACTTTCCCACGGCAGTTATCCATTATCACGAGTATCAGCGCTTAGCGATTAATGGTAGTAACACTAGGTACTAAAACATGTTTACTGAAGATGTGTTTTTAACTTAGCTTTGTACACGCTCACCTCCAGTTTTATTAAGTCTGAACAATTAAATCCTGAAATCTCCCGAAAAATATTTTGATCTAAGATAGCTTAGCCTTTTAAAAAGCCCAATGGTCACTATGAGATGTACCACCTGGTTCAACATGCCAAAACTCTGCGTTCAGCCCATAGGGTACATTTGTGTGTTCCATATGTTTCTCACAACAAGCAGCGACTCTTTAGCTAAAAAGCAGTAACAGGTTGGTCGTTGTAGCGGAGACGTAATGTTTTCCCGTGAGGTACGAACTGAATTGTGTATATTATTTAAAAGAAATTAACTCTTTCAGGGGTTACGATAAGAGGGCAAATTATGAATTACCTAACAAAGAACTTCGTCATTTATACTGGTGTTGTGGTGTTAGGATGGTGAACTGTGGAATGTACAGTGGGCTTGACATGTAACTCAGCAGAAACAATGAATGAGTACAGAATTTTCGTGGGGAAACCTCTTTGAAAACAGCCACGTTTAATAACAAGAAGGAGGTTGGAGGATAATGTTAAGATGCATTTTGTCGAAATGAGAGGTGGATGAAACTGAACTGTCGATGTTAGATTTTGGCACTAATACAGCTGAACTTCCTGATAGTTGCATAGCTCGGCGAGGATGGCCACACACTTGATTTTCATGGCGATCCTTATATTTACAGGATATTCATTTTGGTGAGAAATTTAGCAGAGAATTCGTGGACTCTCATGAGAATCGAGACACTGCAGAAGGCCTCATGAATTTACATAACAACGAAGCTGGGAGAAGGGTGAGTATTTCGAGATGCTAACTTAGTTATATGTGTTTTATTGAAACGAACCTTTCTTCGGCGTTATTTATCTGTGCTGGTTTCTCTTTCGCCTACTTTTCTTATATTATAGCAGAAGATGGGCTGATTGTGCTGTCGTGTAAGTGTGTCAGTTTTAATATATTACAAACCATATGACTGAATTTTGTGAATCATGATATGAACATCATACCGCTTGAATATATACCACCTTTGTAATTTTTATCCTGTTTTCCTTGAAAAAAAAATAAGCTTATGAGATCACCATGCTGTCTGTGTCTGTTTGTCTGTGAATCCCCTCCTATTAACTTTTGAATGCCTGAGCCAGTCTTTTTGAAGCTTCGTATGTAAATCATGGCACCTGAGTCCATCTCAACGCCGTACTTAATAAAACCCTCTCATCAGTCTGTGGGTCTCCCTCTATCGCTAATTTCGTGTTTTCAGTATGGAATGGATAAATGGGTTACACATGTATTTTTTCTTTTAACAGATATTTAAGCCCATAAAAATCGGTTATCACGTACGTAAAGACCTTTATGTCACCAGAAAACTCGCCTTTCGACATTCTTTAAGTGAATAAAATATTTCAGGATACCTACATAAATTATATAAATGCAAGAAGTTCTGTGAAGATCTAATCACCAACTCTGTTTTCGTATGACACGGACGGCATGGAAAACGACGCGTCCAATAATTCTTATAAAGTTGGTGTGTATTTGTTGCCATGGTAACTTTTATACCTGGGGCCGCGCCATAGCTCAAGCGGTTAGTCGCTGGCCCCGGTTCGAGCCCTGGCCTGGTCATGTGGGATTTGTGATGGACAAAGTGGTGCTGGGATAGTTTTTCTCCGAGTACTTCGGTTTCCCCTGCCAATCTTCATTCCACCAATTGCTCCACAATCACCCTCATCTGTCATCTGGAGCTGGTACAATAGGCCAGAAGTGGCCGCAGGTAGGTATCTTATCTGGCAAACAGCTCGGCGTCACATTCCAGAAGTCACTCGATATCATCATCATCATCATCATCATCATCATTGTCATGAATTAAGCCATGTTTGTTCTGTTCCATCCTCGTGAAATGTATGTATGTCCCCAATCTTTACTGTGGGCGCCCTGCATTTCGTTTCCTTATGTGTGCATTACAATTTTCTTTGAAATTCGTCTGTTTTCTAGTCGTAGGACGTAACGTTTTCACTAACTTCATGGAGCTGAGCCCTTCTTGAGAAGCCGCCAATTGTGTTTCTACTCCAGAACTATGGAATCAGAAGGTTTATTATCGTGTTCGCAAGAACCCTCCACTGGTCCCTATCCAAAGCCAGATCGAGTCCATGCCACCCCATCCTATCCCGCTAAGATCTACGCCCCACCTACGTCTTGTTCTTGCTAGTGGTCTCTTTCCTTCTGGATTTCCCACCAATAAGCTACAGGCATTCCTTTTAACTATGGTTTGGATTTTAGAGTTTTATTATATGGATTAAAAACATCCAATTCTTCCCTAATTTTAGTATTTTTATATAGTCTTTCTTTTTATAGTCTGATAGGCTACATGAGCAATTTCAGTTCTTATTCCCTATTTTCTTTTTGTATATTCCATGTTTCGGATCCATATGTAAGTACACATACCGCCATAACTTTATAACGTTTTATCTGTGTATCTTTTCTTGTCGTGTTATTCTGTGTTTTTATTTTGAAGCGCATTTTGTTAAATTTATTCCCTTTTATTTCTAAATCTTTTTGTTTTGTTACTGGAATTTTATGTCCTGAGTACGGGTATCACGTGCATGCCGATCACAATGGCCGCGCGGTCAAAGGCATTAACTGCCTTCGTAAGTTCCAATCTTACTCAAGACACAGATGTCTGTGTTTGTGTTGTCCTGTGTAGGTAACAGCCTTGTGACGGGCTGATCGCTCGCCCAAGGAGTCCTACCACCGTGTAATGGAGATTAGGAAACTAAAGAAGAACCCAGGGCGCAACAAAGGGCTGTAGAGCCATTGAATAGAATGAATGATTGGAGTATTACGTACATACAGGCTCTCCACAAGTACATACAGGGTGTCCCAGGAGGAATGTGCCAAACTTCGGGAGGGTGTNGCCGATGCGAGAGGCCATTCTACGAGTGGAGAGACGCGGACTTCTATCAATCATGCGAAGAATGTTCTCTCGTGTGTTTCTCATTTGTACATCCTCCCTTTCCGACTGCACAGAAACACTCGGAAGAGAACCAGTCTCACGCAATGTCTGGTGAATTCGCGTAAATACACTTCGAGATGGAATCCTTCGATCGGGAAAACGCCTTTGGTACTCTTCAACAGCAGCACGTGCATTGCCACCGCAAAATCCATACACAAAATGCATATCACAATACTCGACGTGTGAAAACACAAAAGGCATTTCAGCAACTCATCACACAACTAATTTACCACCCATTCACGACCCCACAGCAAACTAATCTGTAGGCAGCGCATGAGCTTACGCTAGTGTGACTCGCGGCACTCAAGGACAAACAGATAAGGGTCTCAGCTGACAGGTAGGTATAGTGCGTGGACCTGCAAGAAGACCACACTTTTCTCGGGCCATTATCTCCGTAACCGTTCAACTTTGGACATAGGTGTTTTGGGTTATATCGGCATACTTTAACATAAGGAACACCCTCCCGAAGTTTGGCACATTCCTCCTGGGACACCCTGTATATGATATGCCCATTTTCTCACTTTAAGAGACTGGTACCCCAATCAGAATATTATTGGACCTATTGCTATGCTCTGTAATGTCTTATGCAAATGTTCGACTACAGTTCAGTACTTCCTCTGTTTCTGTAGTCCATCAGATCGCGGATGCAGCGCGTGTGCAAATGCCACGGAATGTCCGGGTCGTGCAGCGTAAGAGTTTGTTGGCGGAAACTGCCGCCATTCCGCCAAGTGGGAGATGCCTTAAGCGCGAGATACGAGGGCGCATCTCACGTCAAAATGGTGGACAAGAAGAGAAGGCGCATCAAGAAGTTGAGAGCAGTGAGTCGAGACTACAAGCAGCCCAACAAAACGGACCTGGTGTTTCTCGAGGAGTCGCCAGATTACTGCGAGCGTAATGAAACGTGAGTTCCATTTATTTATTCTTTTTGTACCAGGAAAAGTAGATCTGATGTCTCCTGACTACTGGTAACTTTATGAAATATGAGTTTGGCTTTCTTTCGTCAGTCAAACATTAAAGATTTGCGAGTTCGTATGAGTAGCCGGGCTGCAGTCAACGTAGTGAAATGTTAGTGTTAACTTTCCCCCCTTATCCCCTTATTCTTATCGTTACAGCCTCCTCACTACTGTGAACTTAATGAGACGTCATGTAGCTTCATTTCTTTGGCTCAAGAAGATGAATCAGATGTCCGTAACTGTCCTTCTCTTACTGTGGATGCAATGAAACGCGCAACTTTCTTTGCTTAGTAAATGTACGGTCACAGATTTCCAAAAGTGTTGCGACTGTAATGAAATGTAGCATGGCTTCCTTCCCTTAACCCAAGAAAACGATTGGTGAAAGAATCGCTATGCTACAATGAATGTAATTAGACCTGAGCGGAAATCATTTTTCCGCCCCAAAAGACGGATGTGGTGCTTGTTCTCTAGACATGATATTGTAACGTGTAGAGCCGTTGCTGTGCAACGACAGCGAGATTGGCGGATATACCACGGCCGTGACGTCCCGGTTTGCAGAGTATTGTTTCAACCAACTACGCTATATTCTTGAATAAAGTAGGAGTTAGGCCTATATTAGAATGATACAGATAACATTTGCTGGAAAACTTATAAACCTGCGTAAGCTCGGAGCAAACTGTCACTGAAATTGATGAATGCCTTTTTCTGGGATGTGGCGCCGTGTAGATCTTGTGTGAACAGAAGTTTCAGTAGAACGTATCGCCTCCATCTTCAGAGTAGAAAAATTCGCGAGCGGGGAACCAACGTGAGCAGGTGGCTGCAGACTGAGCCACCAGACGAAAACATTCAGCTATATAAGAACAGGGATGGAGGGAGAGTGGGCCACATGGGAAATCAATAGAGAGGAGAGAGTAGGGTCTGTATACTCGTAGATGGGCGAGCAGGTAGCAGAGAGCGGGCCAGAGCCGGTATAGGATCGTTGTCAGGTGGGAAAGCCAGGGCTACCGAGCGAACATTGACCCAGTGTTTTCGACTGGTGGCTCAGTCTGCAGCCACCTGCTCGCGCTTGTTCTTCGCTCGTGAACTTTTCTACCCTGCAGATGGAGGCGATACGTTCCTTCGAAACGTCGGTCCATACAAGACACGGCGCCACATCTTAGAAGAAGGTATTCTTCATAGTCACCGCTGTGAAAACCTCAAATCTTAAATATCACTGAAATTGACTGCGTAATTTTTGGTATGTAGCATAAATTCCCTCGTCATTAGCGTGATGACCACCACTGTGAGAACCCATCTTCAGGCAATTTTTTCCTGTAAATATGAATAAAGTTCTGTTTGTTTCAGGATGGGGGTGCTGGGGACGCGGGGTCGTCTGTGTAATCGCACAAGTATGGGGCCGGACGGCTGTCGCCTCCTGTGTTGCGGGAGAGGCTACCAAACAAGGGTGCGCGATGTGGAGGAGAAGTGCCACTGCAGGTTTGTGTGGTGCTGTGACGTCAAGTGCGACACGTGCCGCTACAAGAAAGAGGAACACATCTGCAACTAAGCAACGGAGGATGTCTGTACAACCTGGACACGGAACACCTTCACAGTGAGCGGAAGCAAGACAGGATATCTGTACAATTGGTTGTAAAACTCGATTCAGTAGGGCCTGACCGGCCGAGAGGACCCTGAGAGATGGTCGGGAGAAAGAGAGGATGTCATTCAAATGTTACTACTGATTTGAACATTGTGCTGCGGTGGAGCTCTTCAAGGCGTCCGGAAGAAAGCGTCAATGTCCATACAGTCCGGTCGGGGAATGTCTTAAAAGCAAACTCTGCCTCAGGAAATAAGCAGAGTAGTAAACGTGTACGGTTATTAACCGTCATGAAAACGTAAACACATTCGCTGCTGAACATGTCTAAAAATAAGGATAATTTCATACTTCTTCTGAGAACGATATTCGTACTCATACATTCGTTTAATTACAGTTTTATCCGTTATGATAAAAGGGAAAGCTGAAGTGCCGGTATTTATATACAGGCATTCGAAAATTTATTTTTAATTAAAAAAAACAGAAGGACATGCGCAGAGACGATCCGAGTTTGCGAGCTGCCCATTTCAGTTAATTACTGTTGTGTTTTACCGCAAGAAAATGAGATTTCTTAAATCTTATATGCAGGAATTGAGAATAGAAATTAAGAAATGATATGATGCAGTGACTTGGATTTATCAAATTTAGGTAAAAATAATTTTTAAATTAAGGTGTAACACCTTTGTAGGCAGTAAACATTCATCGCACTGAAGACAGGTTTCTGTATAAATTCGTATCGCAATGAATTTGTTTGTCGTCATATGCAGACGTGTGATAGTGGTGGTTACTTCGGCGTAACAAGATAAGAGGGACACACTTCCATGGCAAGACGGGTTCCTTCTCACGTCTTTGACTTTCGTGTCAATGTCCGCCATCTTTACATATTCTCCTCAGCAGCGCCACTAACAATGACTTGACGACTTAGTAACTAAATATGCAATGGCTGAGCGCAAAGGAACGCTGTTGGTTCAGTCTTGTCAACTACTGCATCTTTATCTTCTACGCCGCGTTAGACTTCTCTGGCACCCGCTAAGACACCGAAACATTAAATGCTATGTGGCAGGTATAAAATACAGATTTCCTTCCGAAGGTGGATCATCAGACCCACAGAAAAGGGATGTAACAAATTTTCCTTTATCTCGTGAGAACAGCAGCAACGTTCGCATTTTGGGAGTATGCATGCACCGTCCGAATTCCTTCTGCGGGCTCGCCATCGACGGTCTTTGAGGATTCCACAGGCCCTTCAGATGTGTTTTGGGGATATCACATTAAAATAGGCCAGGGCATGCCCACTTCCTCTTGCATCCTTCCCACTTCATCTTTTAGAGCCATCCTCAACCATCCTAATATTGGCCAAACAGAAACTCACCAGCTGATAAAAAGTCATAATAAATAAATAACCAGTGATCATGTTAAATTGAGTAACTGGGCTGCAGGGCATGTAGCACGAATTAGGAGGACGAGGAATTATTTATAGTATATTGGTGGGAAAGCCGGAAGGAAAGAGACCACTAGGACCAAGGCGTAGGTGGGTGGACAATATTAAAATTGATTTTAGAGATATAGGATGGGATTGTATGGATTTGACTGATCTGGCTCAGGATATGGACTAGTTGAGGGCTCTTGTGAATACGGTAATGAACCTGCGGGTTCCAAAAAAATGCTGGGAAATTCTTGAGTAGCTGCACAGTCGGCGAATTTTCAAGAAGAGCTCAGCTCCATGAGTAAGTAAGTAAGTAACTGGGCTGGTTCTGCAAGAGATACGTAGCGGTTCTGCATACGCGAGAGTCTGCGCGCTGAATCGCATTCTTCGCACGCCCATGCGCTATTTTCGATTCTCGCATGGCTGAGAGCAGAGACATCTTACGGTACCTGAGATGTGCTGAGGCATCAGTCAGACTGCTCTTTCATGAAGGTAAGATGGTACGAGGTTCATGGAGGTAGGCCTAGGCCCACTGGGGCTGTAGTGCCAAGAAAAAAAAAGATTGTACAAGGGGTTTCAGCTAGTTCTTCCACCCTGTGAGAGTAACGACCTTGCCCTCAATCATGGCAGTGTTGAAGTGTAAGACAACGAAATTGGCATGAGATTTAGAATTTTCCAGTTGAGCCAGGTCATTGTTTACGGCACCAAATATTATTTGAGCATAAGCATTTAAGGTCTTCACAACTGTCGATTATGTTTTGCGGCCCGTTATCCTTTGTTATCCACATTTTCTTCACCAGTTTTGCTGGCGCAGCGCATCACGTTCTCGCATTAAAAAGGACAAGGGGAACTCAAAAGTGACCTCATGTTCAACAATATGGAAACACTCTTTTTAACCCTTCGAAATCGTGTCAATATCTAACATGTCAAGATGGGGAGGGGGCACGCGGTAGCATAGTTGGTTGAGACACTGTGATACAAGCTGGGACGTCGCGGGTTCAAGTCGCGGTGATGTGGATATTTTCAGTTTACCTAATCCTTCCAACCGCACTATGTCCCTGGCGTTGACACAGCCTTTAACAGAGATGAGTATCAGGAATCTCCCTGGGGAGTAAAGGGCGGCCGGCGCGTAAGGCTCACAACCTTACCGCCATCTGTGAGCCGATTGTCTAGAGAAAATGTGGGATCCCCGACGTCTCAAAACCCTATGGGCCTTCACATTTTTTTCACTCACCTCGCTTGATGATGGGAAAAAAATTTGAAATTACATAATGGAATGGCACCTATACATTTTAAAATTCTATGTAACTAGTCAAAGGTTTCTGATAAATTTAAGACTGACATTTCTTGGACTGAAAGATTCTAATTATTTGTATTTGAAGAACTTGATTTCATACATGTCGAATAAATGTTCATGAGTTAGCGTTCATTTTTAAGGTGAAAGTTCTCAGAGTTTAGGAAATAAGTAAAATAAATTTATAAATTCAAAGCATAACTCCAGGTGTCATAAAGAAGCAACAGCATATGGTAAATAATGTATAATTGTTTCTGTATTTGCAGTACACCAATCAATAAATTTCATTATATTCTAAAAGTTAGAATAAATATGATATCTTTTTAGAAAATAATGCAAGAGTCTGGCCTGGCGATGGTTACTTATACGAACATATTTTTAATTGAAGGTTTTAAAATTTATGCTTTATTGTGTGTATTGTATATTTGTATGACATGTGTTGTACAGCCAGCTTCTGGTCTTCAGTTATTACTGTCAGAAGACTCAATGTCCCTGTTGTGGGTCAGAACTAAATAATCGATAAGATTTTCCCTTTATTTATCAGCGTATCCCTCCTCAGTTGACGATAACTCTCTTGTTGCAGTGAAACACGTCAATGTTTTCCACTTAATGTTAATTTGCCTGGCTACGGTTCGGGAGATAACAAGTTTGCATCTCAGTCTGAGCAGAAACTATACTTGTTAAATTATTTCCAGTGTCTCTGAGTCGTTCCAACATAAAACCTTGAAATTGATAATGACCGCATTTGTTCCAGTTCATTGTGCATGATGTTTGTGTCATCTCATTCCACATTAAATGACATCTATAGTTAATACAGCATCGTTGAAAGAGATACGGAACCTAAGGACGTTTTATCCACTGCTTAGTATTCCACTGGCCCATCCCAGACCATTATCGTCCGCATTTTAGTGGTAATCTCAAGGTTGCGCGCGAAGGCAAGTATGGCGGGCGTCGTGGGGTCTGTGTGATGGGTGACTACTGTAGCTGGAAGCTTGTACTTCCTGCCATTCACTGTTACATCTATGGACTCAGAATTCCACTGCACTTTCAGTCAATATCGGCCAAGACAGGAAGAAGGCTTCTACTCTACTGAGTAGACGTCATTCAGAACATGAAAAATTGTGACTGCGAAGAAAATATTAAGAATCAGAGTGTTGTATGTAACATTACAGTGCCAATCGCAATTAATTCGGTGTAATAGTTCAGTGAAATGTGGTATGTACTGTGATTTCACTTAAAATTTCGGTAGTCATATTTATGTCAAGGACATGAGACAATGGATTAAACATTAAATGAACAATTGCCCAAAATGTGATAACTGATATATTTATAAGTTTCTGTCATATGATAGATATCAGAATTAGATCTTGTTGTGCAAGATATGCATATCTTTCGTACTCCATGACATTAGTCAGTTTCATCAGTGTTTGTGTATGCAGATATGTTGTGAGTAGATGGAATTGTTATCATCTATAATTTTCTGTATAAAAATGTGTATTTACGTGTATCCATCTGTGTAAAGTCGATAATTGTTAGTCACAGAGAGAATAAAACAACATAATTGTGATGTGGTACGATATTTTGAATTATTTTAGTGGTCGTATTTTCGATATTATCGATCATTTGTCTGAGGCCAGATATATCAATTTCGAGCATGGAAGTTAACCAAGGTCTGACTAATGTTCACGCACCTGGATATTCCGAGGGGAAAAAAGGTTGATTCACTAGGGGTTTAACTGTGAGTAATGTAAACCACGAGAGCTACATGCGAACTATGTAGCAGTAACTTGGAACTTGTAAACCATCTCAGCATTTGTTTGAAGACGGAAGGAGCCAAGAAACCCTGTCTCTTCATAGCCGATGGCAGGAACTTACACATACCTTCCGTCTTTTGGTAAGCAGTACGGAAAAACACAACAAATGTATTTCTTAAGTGAATCCCTAACAAATGTGCGTTGATTCATTTGTGTCAAAAAACACAATTCCTTGGTTACAAAAATACACTGGTTACAGACAGTAGCTAAGTATGAAACCTGAGACGAGCTGATCCACCCTCAAAGGAGTCCTACTGACTACGTATTGGTTTCCGAAACTACAAATGCGCCCAGGGCCCAACAAAGGGCCAATGAATGAATGCAGTGTTTCTGATGTTTATATCTACGTCAATTTTGGTATGATTTTTTTTTTATTTTGGCAAACATTGTCGGTTGCAGATGTAAATGGGGATTGCAATGTCCTCAACCGACGCAAGGAAGGTTAAGACGGATTTTAATGATGCTTCTTTGGGTTAACGCAATATTAACCCTAGATTTCAAATTGTTGATTCAGTATAACCAATCGAGTCTTTTATGCGCTTATTCAACATATATTATATGCGTACATTTAACAATATATTTTTTGTCTAGGACCACTTCAAGATATTTGACCTCAGCTTTCCACATTAAGGTGTGGCTGAAATTGTCAAATTCTGGTAGATGACTGTGACGAGTCTAGAATTTTGTATACATTACAACCCCACGTTTGGACGCATTTACTTGGAAATTCGAAGCTCACCCAAATGATATCTGAAAATTGTGTTCTTACTTCCAAGAAATCATTGCACCTTTATTCCAAATATTAGTTTTACTGATGTTTAGGTAAAACACACTGCCTAATCGAAGAACGAATTCCAGAAATAAGCTGCGTGGAATAAACGTCGTATTATTTAACGTTAACAAAAGCGATATACATAATTACTATTTCCAAGTTAAGGATTAACAGCCTATTAACTTTATTAGAATACGTCCCAATCATTGTCGTAGTGCATGCCTCTCATAAAAAAAATATATATATATATATATGAACCTATAACGCACATAACATACATCTCTAAATTAATAAGCTTAATCGTGGAACTCATATCAGTGCGCCCTCTTAGGTTCTAGACTTCATTTGCCCTTGATTCGGCTAATCCGGCTAAATCTTGAATTAGCCTCATTATTTAGATACTAGCGCCAATCTGAGAAAGTTATGTACTAAACGAGTGATCTCAATTCCCTCTTCTAAATATTCCAAGGAACTTTCGTTCTTGGCTATTGGCAGCCCAGATGGATTAACGGTGACTTTTAGTGGAAAATCTCAGAAACCGCGGAGACCATGGAGAAGTATGAAATTTGATGTCATACGTACTTAGGAAGGTAAGGTAAACCGAGATTTCCATAATCACGCATTTGGTAATATAAATAACCAGTTAAATGGTAGTGATAATTATATATTTGTCTATAGACGGAATGATATATTTAATTAATTTTATATTCAAAACCAAAGAATATTTGCATGCAGTATGTCGGAATACAAAAATGATTTTTAGGTACACAGAGTACGATTATATCAGTTATATATATCCAGAAGATGTATTTNAGTAATAATAATAATACTACTAATACAATATATAACACAATGATATAATAGTATACAAAGATAATAAAATTATGATTCGAATGATATATATCCTGCAAACAGCTAACGTCCCAGAAGTGAGAGAAATTCATCACTTAAAGGACCTGGAATTTTGTTAAATATATATAAATATTAGTATGTCAATTGTATATGTTTAACAAATAATGCATGAACATGCAGCAAATAATAAATGTGATTTAAGTATACACCTCTCTTTTTAATATTTCACATCTGAAAAAATAATTGCTGTGCATTAATTTTGTCAAAAAATAAATAAATATATATATATACTGTTGTGTCTAATTCTGACCTGAACCTTGCCACTAAATAGAATATAAATGAAACATTAGGAGTGACTTGATCACAAGCAAGGCATGCTTTTCTTGGGTGTGTCTGTCCTTAATCCTTACAATTTTCTTAATTCCATTACTTCAGTAGATGAAAAGCCTAAAAGTAAATTTATGCCATTGAGTCAGCATATATTTTAAATAATGGGCCCAACAGTAACAAAATTTTCTTGCATATGCCTTGAGAAAGTGTGGTCTTCCATAACATATGTACATATACAGTAGTTTAAAAGCTATTGGAAAGTTGTAGCTTAATGTTCGTATTTCTAAGAACTACTTTACATTATGGTCATGTATTTGAGCCTCTCTGGTACACAACCACATGATTATATGTCTCGTGATTTGTTTCTTGTTAAGCTTAGTAAACTAGCAGAATTGTGACTTAACCTAACATATCAACATTGTATTACTAAAATTTCTTTATAAGAAAAGTTCTCTGTTCCCAGTGCTATAGAGTGAGAAGTAATTTCAGATTACATATAATAAATGAGAACTATTTAACTATGAAATTAAAATGTAAAATGACAATTTATCAGAAAGTATTCATATTCTGGGTGAATTTTTCTTTGTGTTAATGTAATTTCATTGTGTCCTTTGCTTGGAAAAGCTAGAGAGAAGGAACATTGCTGCCGTAGACGGGAAAGAATTATGTTCAACTGTTGACAGAATATGTGCAGAATACTTTGATGGCCTACTGGAAAAACTTATACCACTCAGTAACTTCCTGGTGTACGTGCATATAGCGCAAATTTATGATTGGGTGTGTTGTAAATGTATGGAGTGTGTAGTATGCAATATTCATTTTCTAGAAGAATGTACACATACATTCTGCAATTCTGTTACTGTGTATGATTGTTTGTATACAACAGTTTTTCAGTTTTGCTGCTAGAAGTACAGCATAGGTGCAGGAATTGTTGAACAGTGTTAGAATAAAAGTTATGTAAGTAACTGGTTGATACCTTATTTTATCTCCCAGTATATTTATATTCTTAAATTTTGTTTCAGATTTCAGGAAGACAGAATGCTGCATGAAGTATTTCTGGCGTTGATTGGTTACTCTGATAATTTCCTAACTCAGGTATAATTAATTATGGAACATTTTGGATAAAGCATGCAATCCCTTTCATGCATCTACCCCTTCCCCCTGTCCTTTCTCCATCCAAGCATTATTGCTCCAGTTACACCTCAACATTAAATATTACCGTCACACTGACACTTTACATTAAAGGAGCAAGGGAACCAGAATACTAATGAAGCAACAAACACTTTAAAATAGAAATTTGCGAAATAACAAAGGCAACATAAACTTGTACATAAACTAAAGTACAAGTAACTGAATACAAATTTTTGCATGATTTTCTCNTATTTCACCTTGTCCTTTCCACCGCACTTCGCTGACACCTAGCACATAGAGATGTAAATACACATAACCAAAGAATTGTAATGTAATGGAAACCATGATGTATAAAGGCCAGTTCTTTATATAAAATTAATCCTTTCCAACAGGAAGTGCCCAAATTTTAGTCATCTAGTTTCATAAAGTTCCTGGCCGTGCCATAGCTGAAGCAATTAGTTGCTGGCTTCCCACCGTGGCGGCCCGGTTTCGATCCCGGGTCTGGTCAAGTGGGGTTTGTGGTGGACAAAGTGGCGCTGGGGCAGGTTTTCTCCAAGTACTTCGGTTCCCCTGCCAATCTTCATTCCACCAAATTCTCCATCATCACAATCACCTGGGGCAGACTACAATAGGCCAATCAGTGGTTGCAGTGCCGAGTGGACACAGTTGGACTTCACCCCCCACTAAGCGAATTAAAAAAAATCCATAAAGTTCCTGTCTGATTTTGATGTTGAAGATCCTATCACTAGATCTGAGGGGAGAAGAGTGAGAAGATGTATGGAAAGGTGGTCTGAACAATTCTGAATGTTGGACCAATCTGTGGTGGCCTAATGGCTGGTCTAAAGAAAGAAGATGAAGATTATCAGAATAAATTTCCTGAGATGCCAGGAGCCATAACTGAACACCAATATATCATGTCATTTGACTGGGGAAACTTGTTCACCCAGAAATGCATCATCAGAATGATGTCCGCAAGTCAGTTTTGATCCCATGAACCACATTTCCTTCCTTATGCTCCAATATATGATGTTATTAACATCTTATGTCAGACTTGATACCTCCATTGACATCTGTTATATTTATCAGAAAGCATCTTCTTACAAACCAATCGCATGTTGTTCTTACCAAGTGCATCTATGTCTGGAAGGTGATGAAGAATATTCACTTTCTCTTGATCACAGAATTTAAATAAGTGTCTCATTCCCACCCTTCCACTTCCAGCAAAGCATACATAACTGTATTTATGTTCTGCCATTATGTTACTAGTCCTAATTTTCAACCACCAGTGAACAACTCTCACTGAAATATATTGGTTGCGAAGGCAGTAAGATTATCCTCTTTCAAGCTGCAACCACTGATGAAGAAATACCTGTACATCACTTGCCAGAGAGGGGAAGAAATGCTGCATAAAGACCCATGCACCTGGGTTACTCTTAATAAAATCCCACTCACTCACTCACTCACTCACTCACTCACTCACTCATGGAGCTGAGCCCTTCTTGAGAAGCTGCCAATTGTGCAGCTACTCAAGAAGTTACCAACATTTTATGGAACCTGAAGGTTCGTTACCTTGTTCACAAGAGCCCTCCACTGGTCCTGAGTCAGATCAATCGAATCCAATCCATACAATCGCATGCTATCTCTCTAAGATCCATCTTAATATTGTCCACTCACCTACTTCTTGGTCTTCCCAGTTGTCTCCTTCCTTCTGGCTTTCCCACAAATATCCTATATGCATTCCTTCTCACACACATTCATGCTACATGCCCTGCCCATCTCATCCTCCATGATTTGATCGTTCTAATTACATTTGGAGAAGTGTACATTCATGAAGCTCCTTATTATGCAGTTTTCTCCAACCTATCGTCACCTCATCTCTCTTCGGTCCAACTATTCTCCTGAGCACCCTGTTCTCAAACACCCTCAGTCTATCTTCCCCCCTTAATGTCAGAGACTAATTTTTTTTAATGCTAGTGGGGTGGGACTAAGCACCTTGTACTGCGGCCTCTTTTGGCCTATTGTGCCAGCCCCAGATGATAGGTGATGGTGATTGTTGAGCAATTGGTGGAATGAAGATTGGCAGGGGAAACTGAAGTACTCGGAGAAAACCTGCCCCAGCACCACTTTGTCCACCACAAATCCTACTTGACCAGACCCGGGATCGAACCCAGTTCGCCGTGGTGGGAAGCCAGCAACTGACCACTTGAGCCATGGCATGGCTGTGTCAGAGACTAAGTTTTACTAGATCATAAGAAGCCTCGGAACTTAATAAAATCTCACAGTAATGTTGTAGGTTCTAAGTTGGCTTCACTTATATGAGACTTGAGTCACATCAACTTCAATGATAGTATATCATGTTGCTTACTGAGAAAGAAAGTTAAATAATATTTTACTATAAAGAGGTAAAGAGATGAAGCCCCTTGCATCATGCAGTGAAGATGTATGTGGGAGTAGAGGTATAGCTCATTTCACTGTTAATCTCAACACATGATGGAGGTAGTGGTCAGCTTCACACCCTGGCCACTTTAAACCCAGGGAAAGAGGTCCCAATTTTCCATTTGAGCCCCAGAGCTGACCTGGAGCTATGGACAATAGAAAAATCTCTGTGCCTGCCAGGAATCAAACCCAAATTCCTTGGTCATGCAGCCTCTGGCTTAGTCATTGTACTGATTGATGTATCACACCTCCTGATATTTTGTTTAAGGAGTGAGAATTTGATTTGGAGGTGTGTAAAGGCTATTACTCATCTACACATTGGTTTCCCATATCCCACACATTTTGTGTGTGAGACTTTAGCTCTGCCAGCTCCAGTTCATCCTCTTAGATAGAGTACTGTTGATTCATGCCCTTGAAAGATGTCAGTTGTTATAGAAGGTGTATTTCTTTAGGCTCCATTTAGTATAGGTTGCTTTCTGTACTCTTCAGTAACCGTAATGTTAGTTTAGGCAAGCTTAGTTAATCTTGATGCTTTTAGATCAGTTAGTAAAGTATACATATGCATAAAGAATTAAATGTTGTGTGTATCATGTTTTGTGGTGCATAATAAGAGCCTTATCAGTGTTGAACCAACAACAGTTTCATGAAATACTTGAATTTTTAAACATTCCATGTGGACAGTTGTGCCTCTGCTTTATTCTTCAATAAAAATGTACATTAGAGAGCTGTATATATGAAACTGGTAAATAGTACAGAGTTGTCGTTTTTTTTAGAAATGAAGGCATAAAGACTAAATTATGGGTACACTGCTTGATTTTTAAATTTGTTGTGATTATCTTTGGGTTATAATGCCAGGCAGTGAATTGGTTGGTTGTCAATTTTATTGGTCAGTTTAATCAGTTGGTTACTTAAAATATGAAAGCATTTGAGAAATTCTGTATCTAGTGGACTGGTAAATGGGGACACATGGTAGCAGAGTTGGTTGAGGCAGTATGCTGCAAGACGGAAGGTTGCGAGTTCGATTCCCAATGAGGTCATTTGATTTTCCAGTTGACCTAATCCTTCCAGCCGCACTATGGCTGTGGGGTCGACTCAGCCTCCAACAGAAATGAGTACCAGGAATCTTCCTGGGGGTAAAGGGTAGTCAGTGCATAAGGCTGGCAGTCTCACCATCATCTGTGAGCTAGTTGTCTAGAAAATGTGGGAGTCTCAATGTCTCAAGAACGCTATGGGCCTCCATGGCCTGTTACAGGGATAGCATTTTTTTAGTTGACTGGTAAACAAAATAAATATTTGCCCATACCTGGTTACTAACATTGGCCCTATAACAAATATGAACACTGTAAAACTCTTGCCTTATGTATATGGTTGAAAATATTTCAGTGTTTTTTCTCCACAGCGTAAATGTTGTTCTTTTTTTTCAGTTATTGGAAAATGATTCAATTTTGGATTCCAGTGAAAGTATTTTAATAAAAAGAATTCTAAATATTGCTTCAGAATATAAGTCACTCAAAACTTTCATAGACAGTAATATTTCTGTGACTGGAGTTGATAGAAGTCTTGGTGGTAAGTTACTTACAGACATTATAAACTACATCTTTGGCATAAGATTTAGAGATTTCATAATTATGCACATCCAGTATGAACTATGAGTATTTCACATTGCCAGAGTGATATGTTGTGAGGAAGAAACTTGCTGTCTCCTTCTGGCTTTGACTCTAAAGAAGAAGGAAATATGTTTCACCAAAAGTCAGTAATTAATGCTGTTTTGACAGGTGCATTATCCAGAAGACAGTGATTACAACATGGATCCACAAACTATATAATTATGTAGCTTAACACTACATTGGGCGCTATAACTTTGAAACTTGGCATATATAATTTTTAATAATTTTTATACATCTTTCAATACTCTTAATACCTATTTTATACATATATTTAATTCAATATTTATACAGCAATACCTCGCATAGTCTGGATAATTGGTTCTGCCAGTATCCCAGGCTGTTTGAAATTGGACTAATTGAGGAACTAAATACATACAAAAAATGATAATTGGTTAAAAAATCTCCGTTTTTCAATAAAAAATGTGATTAATAAATTCAAATGTCTTTTTTAGAAATAATTTTAAAAATGTCATGTTTTGTGCAATTCATTTTTATTCTCTAAAAATTGCAATATTGATGCCTGCACATTCTTATTCTTTGGCCTTTTCTCTTTATACATTTCTTTGTAGCAACAAATTGCATTGTTTATCGTTCGGCGAATTGTAAGGCTATGTTCAGTTTTGTGATCAACTTCCATAATATGCTCTCTCAAGGTTTCAACCATTCCAATAATTTTTGATAGTAGTTCAGCTGTTAATTCTCGTGCAGGCACTTCAACAGAGTCGTCGTCGTCTAAATTGTCCTCCCATTCTTCATAAGCCAATTGTTCATCTATGCTGATAAGTGTTTCATTTTCTAGTTCATTAGTGTTTGTTTTGATGCTCTCAATTACGTTCACAGAATCTAACTCATTGAAACCAAGTTGCTGTCCAATTTGCATGATGTTATTAGTGACTTCAGCAAAATGAGTTTCAAAACCAATGAAATCATTTGCACAATGTGGCATGATATGTTTCTATACTGCCCTCATATTGCTTGCCATTAATTCATGCCATGCTTCGCCTATATTTTCGATAACGTTTCTGATGTAGCTCTTCCAAAATTCCGTTAAATTACTGCTCTCCCCACCTCCTCCAGCGATAGCTGTCAGAGCTCAAGAACAAACAACCGGAGCATAGGTACACACACATACAGTGGGGAACCCCAGAAAAAATTGAAATATGTATCGTATCACATAACTATAAAACCACATAGAAATAAACCGTGCAAAAAGAGAGGTGACTGTATAAAGGGAAAAAACCGATCATTTATGTATTGAAAATAATTTTGTGTACTAATTTTTTAGAATTTATTTTTATTTTGCTCAATTAAAATTTAGTTTGTTTTGAAATTTTCAAACCGGACTGGTTGAAGCTGGACTGTGCGAGTTATTGCTACATTTAACTCGCACAAATTCTGTACCATAGAATATGACACATTGCACCAAAAATGGAGTTCAGTGAACCTAGACACATTCTTATATCACTGCCTGATTATGGCCCACTGAGATTGAAACATGTAGCAGGAAATAAATATTCAGTTTGTAAAATATTGATTGATTATAAGTCACTTTGTTGTGGCAATGGCTAACCTAACCATATATGTTAGTGATTACTTCTCAGCTCAACCTCAAGGTTCATTGACATCAATACCATAGCCTGCCATTAATCATTTTGCGCAAATTCAATTCACTGTCTTTCCACAAAACTTCCCATGATTCATCCTAATGTTATTCTTCCATCTCCCCTTTAGTTTTCCAGGTTGCTGCCCTCCAAGAGATATCCCTGCCAAAATTATGTATGCATTTCATGTCTGTAATGTTCAGGTCATTGTAATCGCCTTGGTTTCACTATCATAGCAGTAGTTGAAGATCTCTACAAATTTAAGAGTGCCTCACTTTGTAACATCTTAAATTATCCTCTTTATCCCCCTTAAGACCAAATATTTTCTTAAATGCTTTATTTTTAAGATCTGTTGTTGGAACATGTCTGTTTATATCTGTTTCGTGCATATATTTCAGGCAGTTGTAGTGGTAAGGAAGACATTCAAAGACAGCCATTTGGCGTCTATCTCCAAGCATTCTGCTGTGGGTTGAATGAAGTGTTGGTACCATATCGTAAAGATATTGCAGATCTAGAAGGAGTATCACTTACAGATCCATACTTGCCGTTACTGACAATTTTAAGCAAAGTTGAAGAATATTCTAAACTCTTTGAAGTACTGAATTATATGATAAAACAGGTGAGGCAAGTTTGCATCATGTCTATGTATACCAGCTGGCCACCTTTCAGTTGTGCATCATAACACACAGTTTGGCACATTTTGTTCAGATTTTCAGTGCCTGTTTTCCAGTATGTCATCTGATACTATGTGAAACACTCCTTTGGTTGAGAAATTTCAGAAATAGTGTGTTCATTCTGGCCACTTTGGTTCCTGAAATTGTTTTTGTCATGTGGTCAAAATATTAATTTTCTATAACCAGGGGCTGTTGACAACTTTAAAGAAATAAATGAGCAACGAGCTTAAAAATCTGTCAGTGGAGAAAGCAGTTTTTACTGTGCTCCTGGCAGATATTGTGTGAGCCTCATCATGAGACTGTTGTGCTGCCATAGATTTGTTAAGCCATCTATCAGCTGAAATGTTGTGGCGATTTACTAATTATGTAAGATTTAAGGTTTTCGTGGCAGTGACTATGAAGAATGCCATCTTCTGGGATGTGGCGCCATATCGATATTTTGTTAACCGACGTTTTGGAGGAACATATCCCATCCATCTTCAGGGTATAAGAAATCCACTAGTCTACAGGCACCTGCTCACACTGGTTCATCGTTCGTGGATTTATTATGCCCTGAAGATGGGGCGGTATGTTCCTCCGAAACGTCGGTTAACAAAATATCTGCACGGCGCCACATCCCAGAAGACAGCATTCTTCATTTACTAATTATGTTTGCACTACTGAAATTGATGTGTTTGTCCCTACTGGAGCACATACTATTTTTTCCTCATGGGTAGCAAAGATACTTAAAAGAAGAATTGAAAAGAAAATAGAGGATATACTTGGAGAGGATCAGTTTGGATTTAGAAGAGGAAAAGGAACCAGGGATGCAATTGGGATAATGAGAATTATAGCAGAACGAACTTTGGAGATAGATGAAGACCTGTGTGCTTGCTTTATAGACTGGCAGAAGGAATTTGACCGTGTAAATTGGACCAAATTAATGCAGATCCTAAAGGAAACAGGTATCGATTGGCGTGAAAGAAGATTGATTAGTAAATTGGACATGGATCAGAAAGTTAGAGTGCGACTGGACAGAGGGGAGACAAGACGTGTGAAGATTGGAAGAGGAGTTCGACAAGGATGCTGTTTATCACCAGTTTTGTTCAACTTGTGCAGCGAATGCCTTACCAAAGAAGCTCTGGAT